ACGGCACCTCGTGGTGTTCACCTTCTGAAGCGCTCGCTCGTCACCGTGGCGTGCGCGATGACCACCACCACAACCACCACCACCACAACCACCACCACCACAACCACCACCAACACCACAACCACCACAACCACGTGGCTTTTCTTTCGTGTTGTGCGTGGTGCTTTTAGCGCCACAGCGCGTGGATTCATAGCGTTTGTTAATTTGTGTTGCTGGTGACCTTGTGTATTTCATATTGAAATCGCCTCCAGTGCTGTTGCTGCTGGCGGCAATAAAAGTTGTTTAAAAGTCAAAAAGTCGGTCTCTCTCCGTTTCTCTCTCTCTGTCTCTCTCCCCGTCTGTCTGTCCCTCTCTCTGTCTCTCTCCCCGTCTGTCTGTCTCTCTGTATGTCTCTCTCTCTGTCTGTCTCTCTCTGTCTCTCTCTGTCTCTCTGTCTGTCTCTCTCTCCGTCTCTCTGTCTCTCTCCCTGTCTCTCTCTGTCCCTCTCTGTATCTCTCTGTCTCTCTCTCCGTCTGTATGTCTCTCTATCTGTCTGTCTCTCTCTCCGTCACTCTGTCTCTCTCTCTGTCTCTCTGTCTCTCTCCCTGTCTCTCTCCCCGTCTGTCTCTCTCCGTCTCTCTGTCTCTCTCCCCGTCTGTCTCTCTGCGCGTCTCCCCAGTCCGCGTGTGCGAGCGAGCGAGCGAGCGAGCGCGTCACTCACTCTCGAGTCGTCCCACCAACTCCTTGTCCGACGCGGCTGTTTCCGCGTCCATGGACAGGACCTCCTGCGGGATGTAGAGCACCGTGTGTCCCTCCAGCTTGTGCCGCGTGTCTGGGCGGACGAAACACACAAAGGTCCCCCCGTGGGGGTTAGGAGAGATGTTAACTACCTCGCCTGGTATACAGGAGGTGGTGGGTTCGATGCCGACCCTGACGATGCCTTCTGCTGTAGATTTGGAGTTTGCGTCTTTCTCTCGCCTGTCATCATCACGGTGACTAGGAGATGTTGACTACCTCGCCTGGTGTACAGGAGGTCGTGGGTTAAATCCTGACCCTGACGATGCCTGCTGCTGTAGATTTGGAGTCTGCGGTGTCTCTCTCTCTCTCGCTCTCCCCGTGGTCGCGTGAATTTTTTTCCGGGTCCTCCGGTTTTTTGTATGTAACATCGGAAGGAAGAGCGTTCCAGACGGCCGCGGAAGCCATCGAGGTCAGAGAGTTACAACAGCGAACAGCACAACAACAAGGACAGGAGGGCAAAGCACGACAGTAGCCATCACGCCAGGTGCTCAACTGTGGCTGAAGCCTCCCACCGACTGCCCACTCCCACCGACTGCCCCTTCACCAACTGCCCCCCTCACCAACTGCCCCTCCCACCAACCACCCCTCCCACTAACCGCCCCCCTCACCAACTGCCCCTCTCACCAACCGCCTCTCCCACCAACTGCCACTCTCACCAACCGCCCCCCTCACCAATTGCCCCCTCACCAACCGCCCCTCCCACCAACTGCCCCTCCCGCCAACTGTCCCCCTCACCAACTGCCCCTCTCACCAACTGCCCCTCCCACCAACTGCCCCTCTCACCAACTGTCACTCTCACCAACCGCCCCTCCCACCAACTGCCCCTCCCACCAACTGCCCCTCTCACCAACCGCCCCTCTCACCAACTGCCCCTCTCACCAACCGCCCCTCCCACCAACTGCCACTCTCACCAACCGCCCCTCTCACCAACTGCCCCCCCACCAACTGCCCCTCCCACCAACTGCCCCCTCACCAACCGCCCCTCCCACCAACTGCCCCTCCCGCCAACTGTCCCCCTCACCAACTGCCCCTCTCACCAACTGCCCCTCCCACCAACTGCCCCTCTCACCAACTGCCACTCCCACCAACCGCCCCTCCCACCAACTGCCCCTCCCACCAACTGCCCCTCCCACCAACTGCCACTCCCACCAACTGCCACTCCCACCAACTGCCACCCCCACCAACTGCCCCTCCCACCAACCGCCCCTCCCACCAACTGCCCCTTCCACCAACTGCCCCTCTCACCAACTGCCCCCCTCACCAACTGCCCCTCCCACCAACTGCCCCTCTCACCAACTGCCCCTCCCACCAACCACCCCTCTCACCAACTGCCCCTCCCACCAACTGCCCCTCTCACCAACTGCCCCCCTCACCAACTGCCCCTCCCACCAACTGCCACTCTCACCAACCGCCCCCCTCACCAACTGCCCCTCCCACCAATTGTCACTCTCACCAACTGCCCCCTCTCACCAACTGCCACTCTCACCAACCGCCCCTCTCACCAACTGTCACTCTCACCAACTGTCACTCTCACCAACTGTCCTCTCTCACCAACCGCCCCTCCCACCAACCGCTCCTCCCACCAACTGCCCCTCCCACCAACTGCCCCTCTCACCAACTGCCCCTCCCACCCGCCAACCAACCGACCGCCCCTCACCCGTGAGCGTGGCCATGAAACGGTGCACATGCCCACGGAAGTCGTTGCGGATGCCCTCTGGCCAGCCGGCGTTGTGCAGCAGCGAGGGCACGAAGATGCCGCCCATGGCCCGCAAGAGGGCCTCCAGGTGGCCGCCCCTCACCGTGCCCACCAGCACCGCGCCGCTACGCAGCAGACGCTCGGCGCTCGCCCAGTCAGCGGCGACGCCGGCGGCGGCGGTATCAGCGGTATCAGCGGTATCGGCGGTGTCGGCGGTATCGGCGGTATCGGCGGCGTCGGCATCGGCGGTGGTAACGCCGCTATGAATGGCACCGCCAGCAGCAGCGGCTGCAGTATCAGCAGCGGCAGCAGCGCTGGTAGCCCCAGCAGCAGCAGCAGCAGCCGTGCCGCCGAGAGTATCGGCAGCAGGATCAGCGCCAGCAGCAGTAGCAGCGGCGCTTGCGGAATCGTCAGCGGTGGGAGCAGCAGCATCGGTAGCGGCGCCGTCCGCACCGACGCCGGCATCGGTGTCGCACCGTCGCCGCACAAAGTACATCATCTCGTCCACGGCCTGTGAGGACACAGGGGCAGGGCGCGGGTTTGAGATCCGCGTGTTCCTCTACGTTGGGAGGCGAAGGCGGCCGGGCGTGCGGGCGCCATGCGCGTGCCGTTGACACCGCCCGCACAAATAGGCGGCCGCCATCGATCGGCGGCCTGTCCCAACGGTCTCCGTTTATTGAGGCTTTGCAGGGGCGCACCGGGAGGCTGTCGGTTGGCGTCGCGTCTTCACGACGCCAAATCGTCAAAAATCGCAATTTGAAACAATGCGATAGCAAATCACAAAGGGCTGCGATTTGAAAAGTCATATTACTTCCTTGCTGGAATAGTTTAATTTTTTATTGTTATAACCAGGCGAGGTAGTCAACATCTCCTAGGCACCGTGATCATGATGATGAGAGAGACACGCAGACTCCAAATATACAACAGGCATCGTCAGGGTCGGGATCGGGATCGAACCCACGACCTCCTGTATACCAGGCGAGGTAGTTAACATCTCCTAGCCACCGTGATGATGATGAGAGACAGACGCAAACTCCAAATCTACAGCAGCAGGCATCATCAGGGCTGGGATAGAACCCACGACCTCCTGCATACCAGGCGAAGTAGTCAACATATCCTAGCTACCGTGAGTATGATGATGAGAGAGACACGCAAACTCCAAATATACAGCAGGCATCATCAGTGTGGGGATCGAACCCACGACCTCCTGTATACCAGGCGAAGTAGTTAACATCTCACAGCCACCTTGATGATGATGATGAGAGAGAGACACACAATCTCCAAATATACAACAGACGTCATCAGGGCTGGGATCGAACCCACGACCTCCTGCATACCAGGCGAGGTAGTCAACATCTCCTAGGCACCTTGATGATGAGAGAGAGACGCAGACTCCAGATATACAGCAGCAGGCGTCATCAGGGTCGGGATCGAACCCACGACCTCCTGTATACCAGGCGAGGTAGTCAACATCTCCTCGCCACCCTGGCACCCCACACTACTCACAGACGCACGCAGACTCGACGTTTACTATGGAAAACCTTGACGGTAGATATCGTGACCCCACGTTACAGACAGACGGATGGAGCTACTGCCCTCACGCCATCAGACTAGATACGTGTGCGGCACGGGCTAGAGAAGAGATGGAGTGATGTGGTACGGGAGGACGTGGAGCTGAGTGGACTTGCCGATGACTGGTACCAGCGGTGTCAAGATCGGCCTCAGTGGAGGAGGCTCGTGAAGGACGCTACTGGGCAGTTGGAGGCAGTCGCCCTCCAACAACAACAGAGGGCGGAGGAGCGACGCTCACAACAACGAGCGGAGCGCCGGGTGGCTAAAGCACAGCAAGTTGGTACAGTAGGGGGCACAGGTGGTGCATCAGCCAGTCATCTCGGTCATCTCAGTCAGTCGACCCGTGGTACCTGCTGGGTCTGCCTCGTGACCTCCTGCCAGCGGGCGTTCGACACTTCACGTGGCCTCAAGGTGCACTTGGCCTGGCACAAGCGTGTTGTTGCACATGTATATCGAACATCTTTCGCACCGTACGTAGCCGACCGTGCTAATCAGAGGTGCGGAGGAAGGACAGTCAACTAAACTACGAGAGAGTGAAGCTACCTGTCTGCTTTATACTGGTAAGAACCTCCTGGTTACACCAGCCCACAGGGGATTATTGTGTCTGTCCGTTGTGCAGGGAGGGGCTGGGTGGGGAGGGAGGGGCTGTGTGGGGAGGGAATGGTGGGGAGGGGCTGGGTGGGGAGGGGCTGGGTGGGGTGGGTGGGGCGGGGTTGGGTTGGGGGAGGGGCTGGTCACCCCGTGGTGCCCTTATAAAACTCAACGTTTCACCTACTCACACCGGCTTGTGCCCGCCCTCACAGTCGGGCATATTTGCGGAATACACCACGCCGCCGTTGACCCTGCAGGCCATTGACCGAGCAACCAACGTTCCTACCAGCTCCCTCCGCAGGACAATGTGTTTGCTGTCTCTCTCTCGCCTTGTGGTGTCTCCCAGTGTGTGTCTCTCTCTCTGTCTCTCTCACGGTGTCTCTGCGTGTCTCACCGTGTTGGTTTCGCTCTCTCTCTCTGTATCTAACTGTGTCTGCTTTATCGCTATCTCTCTCCCCTTGTCTCTCACCGTGTGTGTGTGTGTGTGTATCTCTGTCTATCTCACTGTCTCTCTGTCTATCTCACGGTGTCTCTCTCTCTCACGGTCTCTCTCACTGTGTGTGTCTCTCTCAATGCCTCTCTGTGCATATCGCTGTCTATTTTTCTGTCTCTCAGTGTCTTTCCCTGTGTCTCTCTCTGTCTCTCTCTGTCTCTCTCTCTCTCTCCCTCCGTGTGTCTCTCACCCTGTGTGCGTATCTCTGTCTGTCTCTCTCCCTGTGTGTGTGTCTCTCTCTCCCTGTCTCTCTCTCTGATTTTCTCCCTGTGCATGTCTCTCTGTCTCTCTCTCCCTGTGTGTGTGTCTCTCTCTCCCTGTGTCTCTGTGTCTCTCTCTCCCTGTGTGTGTCTCTCTCCCTGTGTATGTCTGTCTCTCTCCCTGTGTGTCTCTCTGTCTCTCTGTCTCTCTCCCTGTGTATGTCTCTCTCCCTGTGTGTCTCTCTCCCTGTATGTCTCTCTCTCTCTCTCTCTGTCTCTCTCCCTGTGTCTCTCTATCTCTCTCCCTGTGTGTGTGTGTCTCTCTCTGTGTCTCTCTCATTCTCTCCGTGTCTCTCTCTGCAGCTCCCCCCTGCGATGCAATAACACCACGCGAACAACCCCCACCCCCCCACTCCGGCGTTACTATTGTCTCAGGCCTTCCCAGCTGGGGGCCTTCCCTGCTGGGCTGGCATTGGGTACCCTGGGCATTTGTTCAGATTTTCCTTCCAAATCCACCACAGGCGGCGTATTATTGTTGTTATCATCATCAGAGAGACAGAGACAGAGTCCCACCGTAAAATAAACCCCGTGGCGTCCTCTGGAAAAGGATCTCACCCCCTCCCCACCCACAGCCCCCCCCCCCCTGCCAACCTCCCCCCCCCCCCCCATTTGACCCCCCCCCCCAGCCTCTTTTTTTATTTGAACTGAACCTGAAACAATGTGAACCGAATCTGGCCGAGAGGGAGAAGAGAAAGTGAGCGTTTGATGCCACGTGTGTGAGTGGGTGGGTGCATGTGTAGGTCTGTGTGTGTGTAGGTGGATCTGTGTGTGTGTAGGTCTGTGTGTGTGTGGATCTGTGTGTGTGTCTGTGTGTGTGTGGATCTGTGTGTGTGTGTGGATCTGTGTGTGTGTAGGTCTGTGTGTGTGTGTGGATCTGTGTGTGTGTAGGTCTGTGTGTGTGTGTGTGTAGGTCTGTGTGTGTGTGTAGGTCTGTGTGTGTGTGGACGTCTGTGTGTGTGGATCTGTGTGTGTGGATGTGTGTGTGGGTCTGTGTGTCTGTCGATGTCTGTGTGTTTGTGGATCTGTGTGTGTGTAGGTCTGTGTGTGTGTAGGTCTGTGAGTGTGTAGGTCTGTGTGTGTGTGTGTAGGTCTGTGTGTGTGTGTGTGGATCTGTGTGTGTGTGTAGGTCTGTGTGTGTGTAGGTCTCTGTGTGTGTAGATCTGTGTGTGTGTCTGTGTGTGTGTGTAGGTCTGTGTGTGGGTCTGTGTGTGTGTGGACGTCTGTGTGTGTGTGTGGACGTCTGTGTGTGTGTGTGTAGGTCTGTGTGTGTGTGGACGTCTGTGTGTGTGGATCTGTGTGTGTGTGTAGGTCTGTGTGTGTGTGTGTAGGTCTGTGTGTATGTGGACGTCTGTGTGTGTGGATCTGTGTGTGTGGATTTGTGTGTGTGGGTCTGTGTGTCTGTCGATGTCTGTGTGTTTGTGGATCTGTGTGTGTGTAGGTCTGTGTGTGTGTAGGTCTGTGTGTGTGTGTAGGTATGTGTGTGTGTGTGTAGGTCTGTGTGTGGGTCTGTGTGTGTGTGGGTCTGTGTGTGTGTAGGTCTGTGTGAGTGGTTCTGTGTGGGTGTGAGTTTGTGTTTGGGAGTGGGTAGATGTGAGGGTGTGGATGTGAGTGTGTGAGTGGCTCTGTGTGGATGTGAGTTTAGGTGTGTGTGTGTGTATGTGCGTGGGTGATTGTGTATGTGTGTGGGTGACTGTGTGTGTGTGAGTGGTTCTGTATCGGTGTGAGTTTGCGTATGGTGAGTGTGTGGATGTGAGTTTGTGTATGTGAGTGTGTGTGGGTGTGAGTTTGTGTATGTGAGTGTGTGGGTGTGATTTTATGTGAGTGTGAGTTTGTGGGTGTGTGGGTGTGAGTTTGTGGGTGTGTGGGTGTGAGTTTGTGTATGTGAGTGTGTGGATGTGAGTTTGTGTGCGTGTGTGGGTGTGGGTGTGTGGGTGTGAGTGTGTGAGTGTGAGGGTGTGGATATGAGTGTGTCTGTGTGCGTCTGTGTGTGTGTGTGGGGAGCGGTAGTGTAGCAGTCAGCACGCTGCGCTACAAACCTAACGACCCGGGTTCGATTCCCGCTCACGGCCAACACCGGCGACGATTTATCTGAACCGGTCTTGGCCCTCCCCTAGGTCCACTCGGCCTCAAACGAGTACCTGGTGCGGTGTGTAAACATCGCCACCGGTAGGACACAAAGGCGACACGGGCGTGGTGTTGGTCACCCACCCCCTCGTGAGCCACAGTCCCCGTAGCCTTCATAGGCGCTGCTCGCTAACAGCACTTGCCCCAACAGTCTGTTACAGTTCACACGGTGGTGAGGTTCTTTGTCTCTGACTCGGCGTGCGTGGGGGCTGGCTTGGGCAGTAGATCACCCACGCGTACGCAGCGACTGCTGACCGAGCAGATCATTCTGAGGACACGGCCGCCGCGTGAGGAAATGAGAGATTTTTTTTCAGGGGAAGAGGGGGGGAAATCAGGAGGAGGTAGGAATAACAATAACATCACAGCGACGATGCAATGGTCAGCACGCTGCGCTTGGGATCCAGACCGGAGGTCGCTGACTCGGCACCATGTCGCTCGTCCACTCGCTCGCACACTCACACCCACCCACAC